AGAAGAAGAAGCAGCACGCATACAGCAAAAGGAGCAGCAGCATCAGCATCAGCAAGTGCAGCATCGGCAGCAACAGCATCAGCATCAGCATCAGCAGCAGCAGCAGCAATACCATTTCTTTGCATGAACTCCACTGCATACTCCAGCAGCGGGAGGCCGTTGACAGGCAGCAGCGAAGGATACAGCTCAAAAGAGACAGGTGCAAATGCTGCTGTCTCCTCAGGGGTAGGGAAGGCCAGCAGCACACCTAAGAGACAGTTAAACTGAATATCATCTCCATCTGCTGCTGCTGCTGCTGCTGCTGTTCCTGCTGCACCTCCTGCTGATGCAGTTGTGCCGTTGCGAGGGCCTTTAGAGCCCCCACCACCTGGAGCACGACTCATCCTGCTGCTGCTGCTGCTGCTGTTGTTGTTGTTGTTGTTGTTGTTGCTGTGACCCGCTGCTGCTGCTGAGGCTGCTGCTGCTGAGGCTGCTGCTGCTGCGGCTGCTGCTGTTGCGACGTTAAGGGCAGTTAATTGACAGCAGCAGAAATGTTCAAAAACAGGGCCTAGACAGATCTCGCTGCTGCTGCTGCTGCTGTTGTTGCTGCTGCTGCTGCTGCTGCTGCTGCTGCTGCATGTAGGGCCCCCCAATAGCAGCGCCGATGCGCAACAGCATGAGCAGCAGCAGCAGCAGCAACAGCAGCAGTGCAGCAGCAGCAACAAAGCCGCTACTAAAACAAGAAACGCCTTATCCAACAAGTAATAAGTTTTATTTAATTAATATATAAATTATTTATATTTTAATTTATATCTATCTTTACTTCCGAGCAGAAACAAGAGCAGCCCCGCAACACTCGCAGCCGTCAGCCTTCCCTGGGGCTTAGGGCTTAGGGTTTAGGGTTTAGGGTTTAGGGTTTGTTTTTCTTATTGGCGGCGCCCCTCCAGTTGATGTTGGCTGTAAATCTAGGGTTTAGGGTTTAGGGTTTGTTGAGGAGGGCTCAGCAAGGACTTCAGGGCTGCTCTGCAGTAGCAGGCCTCGCTGCTGCAGCTGCTGCACATGCTGTTTCTGCTGCTGCTGCATGTGTTACCGCTGCAGCATACTCAGCAGCAGCAACAGCAGCACTAGCTGCTGCAGCTGTCTTGTGCAGTGCCGATATGTTTGTCTACCCCTCCCGGTGCTGCTGCTGCTGTTGCTGCTGCTGTTGCTGCTGTTACTGCTGCTGCCCCTGTTACTAAAGCTACTACTACTACTGCTGCTGCTGCTGCCTCACCGCGAGCAGCAGCTATGTCTGCTGCAGCAGCACATGAGGAGGCGCATGCAGAGCAGGAGACACCAGGGAGCTGTCTCTGCCCCCTAGGTATAGCTAGCTACAGCTAGCTACAGCTAGCTACAGCTAGCTACGGCTAGCTATCTGTTGCTTGGCTACCTGTCTGTATCTATAGCTATCTGTATCTGTAGCTAGCTGTTGCTAGCTAGCTGTATCTGTAGCTGGCTAGCTGAGGGTTTAGGGTTTTGCTGCCAGCGAGGGTTCTAATCCTCAAACCCTAGAAAGACTTCGGCCTAAACCCTAAGAGGAAGGGTTTAGGGTTTAGGGTTTAGAGTGCTGTGGGGTATTAATCATAATTTGTTGCATAAAGAAAAGAGAGAGGAACTGTCTCTCGAGCTGTCTCTTTGAAGCAAAGGCGCAACTGCGGCTCGCTGCTGCTGCTGCTGCTGCTGCTGCTGCTGCTGCTGCTGCTGCTGCTGCTGCTGCTGCTGCTGCTGCTGCTGCTGCTGCTGCTGCTGCTGCGATTGCTGCTGCTGCAGCAAACGCGCAGGGTGTACGGCCACCTCACTGCGCTGTCTCCTTGCTACTGCCCGCTGCTGTCTCTGCTTGCAGCGTAGGAGAACTGCTGCTGTTGCTGCTGCTGCTGCCGCTGTTGCTGCTGCTGCTGTTATTGTTGCTGCTCCTGCTGTTATTGTTGGTGCTGCTGTTGGTCTTGTTGCTGCCGCTGCTGCTGCCGGTGCTGCTGCCGGTTGCGACAGAGTTAACTGCACGTTGTTGTTGTTGCTGCTGCTGCTGCTGCTGCTGCTTGGGCTTGCTGCTCAGCTCCAGTGTACCCGCAGCAGCAGCACGGATTTCATCTGCTGTAAGGGTCTCATAGTGCAGCAGCGCCTGCAGCAAAACGAGGAGACAGCAACAGCAGCATCTCTTGCACAGTCTTGCTGCTGCTGCTCCTACTGCTGCTGCTGCTGCTGCTGCGGCTGTCGCAGATGAAGCGACAACAGCAGCAGCTGCTGCAGCAGAGAATATACCCCAGCAGCTGGTTTAATAGCAGCTCTAACATCAGCAGCAGCATTAACAGCAGCAGCAGCAGCAGCAGCAGCATTGGAATCACCATAGCCAGCAACAACGCCAGCAGCAGCAGCAACATTAGCAGCAGCAGCATTAGCAGCAGCAGCATTAGCAGAAGCAAAATTAGCAACAGCAGCATCGGCAGCATTCGCAGCAGCAGCATTAGCAGCAGCAGCATTAGCA